CAGATTCAGACACTGGAAAATGAATGGAGAGTTGGGAGATACTGGCTACCATTGAACAATTTTGTAACAGTTACAAGTCATGAAAATGAGCCAGTTCAGGAGTTTATGGCAACAAGATCAGAAAAATGGAAAAATATCTAGGAGGGAGAAACCGGCTCATGGCCTGGATAGGTCTACAGTGGGTAAAAAACTGGCTGGATGGCAGAGCTCAAAGAGTGGTGGTAAATGGTGTCACATCTAGTTGGTGATAGGTCCCTAGTGGTGCCCCTCAGGGCTTAGTGTTAGGGCATGGTTCAGTGGTGAACTTGGCAGTCCTGGGGTAAAGGCTGGACTTGATGATCTTACGGGTCTTTTCCAACCTAGTTGATTCTATAATTAGAAGAACATGGGACAGACAATGGAATTACCAATTGTGGAGAGTTTGAGAAAAACGGGACAAGTGCAACAGAGAACAAGTCAAGATTTTAAACCTTTCCAACAAGTTTCACAGCATTTGGCCCCTTCTTTAGGAAAGTAGGTGATGCATCAGGGAAAGTAATAACTAAAGGCAGAGTGTTAAACTAAGCAGACTTAAAGCTGGCCCTGACACAGTTTTGAATGCACATATGAAAGCCCTACTGCCCACTTCACTGTGGTTTTGAATTTCTAAACAAAAGGTAGGGTATGTGTTAAGAAACCCATGGATCTGGAATGGAAAAACCTAAAGCATCATTTTTGAAGGCCAGTGCTTGGCAATGGGCACCCAGAACAACTCAAACCCAAAAGTGATTCATACTTCCTGGGGGAACTTCCTATTCAAAGCATAATGAATAGAATTAAGACAATTTTGTCCAGAAACATATTCTGGACTAAATCTGCTATTTGACCTTCCAGGCCTATCGGCAAAAAACTGCAACGGCATTAATGTCCATATGGATTTGGACAAGGAGAATCTGCAAAGGGAGAGGACAGTCTAAGAAGATCTTGCTATAACTAATTATAAATATTCATATTAATATTCCCATATTATGTACACTTTCCAATGTCTATGTGCTTTTGACTTTTGGAGAATTGACTTCCATGTGAATCTAAGAGTTCTACTTGCTGGATAATGTATCTACACAGAAAATCTTGGAAAGCTTTACTACTTTCCTTTTCTACTTTCATACCACTTGACTTCTTTCCAGACTTTGAAGTCATTCCAGCTAGCAGTCTTTTCCCCAAATCATGATACCAAATTCCTTTAGCATAAGAGAAATTTGAAAAATATCAATAACTACCTGTAATTAGAGCAATTAAGTCAATGAGTGTGATACAGAGAAAGGAGATTTTTAGATGCATCTCAGCCCTTTAGAATGGTTATTTAGCAGCTGGAACTGCCTTAATATAAAAGCTCATACAGTAAATTTCTTCCATGTCTCTAACTCAGGCACAAGCCCATTTTTAAAGGGCACACCAACTCCTCCTGAGCGAGACTACATAGCAACAGTACTCTCCCCTCTCAAACGAACCATTTTGTTCTAAATGAAAAGTGGAAATTATTCTTTTGTCAGCAACAAAACACAGCATGCAATTCCATATCTCATAACCTTCTACTTATCAGGTAGGAAGCATACTTAGTCTTTCCTCCTTCAGGATAGATAGGTAACAAACCGAATCCAGGAAGTAAGCAAACCTTTTTACATGTCAAGGGTGTCAAAGAATTCAGTGAGCGTGAGATTGTCAGCAGGCAAATACATGACTAACTCCAGTTGAAATGTTATGACAAAGTTCCATTTTCCCTTTCTCTTTCTTTACTTCATACTTTTCATTGTTTACTGCTGCTTATCTATAGCTAATATTTCTTGGGCTGCACAGACACTCAGAAGCCAAGTGTTTAGCTCACCTTGTGCTAAGACTGCCCAACACAACACTACTCACCTTCATTACATCCCCTCCCATTTTCCTTGCTGCTTTGATGCACAATGAAACAGTTAATGTTCACCTTTAAAGCTGTATCAATGCCACTAGAATTAGCCATCCATTGAATGAATGAGAGGAATTTGGACCTCAAGGCTTACTGTTTCAGGCTGCCAGCCAACTCAGGTGACTATTGCTGCAGCAGTTACTGCTGTCTTTGAACAGTTTCTTCACAACTATAAAACCCAGAAAGTTAGCTTGAAAACTTCATAATAGTAGAATATAACCAGTATCTGTCTAGCTCCCAGACTTTAGGCTAGTAGTTTTTAAGAAATCCTGTCTCACTCGCTTAGAAGTCCTGTGTTTAATCCACAGTTCTTTCATTTTCTGAGGGCAGCATTTTTCAACGTGACATCCTTTTTTGGAAGGCACAACAATTTCCTCAGCTCCCTGAAGATGGCTTGCCTAGAGTTGCATACATTCACAATGTATGCAGGCTGTATTTTAAAATGCATGGCCAGGGAAGAAAGCAGTTACCTCTGCACCCCCAGAGGAGTGTGAAAGCTGGAATATTACATAGACCACAAAAATGTGCAGTGAGCCAGAAAGGAATGAGAATTCTTTTCTTTCTGGCAAGAACTTTCTGATTTCCTATTGATTGCAGTGGGAGATTCCCAAGTTCCTACTCCCAGTCTCTGGGACAACAGCAAAAATACAAACACTTTCTGAGCACACCACTACAGAGGTCAACAAACCAGTGCACCCCTGCAGCTTTGCTGCACTGGCTAACAGTGAATGTGACATTGGCATTGACCTGGAATTCACTCACGGCCGTTACAGGATTCAACAACCAAAATCCAGAGCAACAAATTCTCACTTCCCTTTTGCCCGTGTGAAATACAATTGTCTGTCACTTGTCAAAGGAGCCTTACAGCACTAAAAGTTTACAGTATTGCTTCCTTCAAATTCACAAACATGAACCAGAGCTCCACACTTCCACCCTTTCCATGACAAAAGCAGGAAATTCCCCCCACACATTATTTCAAGGTAGAAATACTTAAAACTTTAAGTGGACAAACAGAAAGGTTAGTGGCTGGAAAGAAGCATGGGTCCTAAGAAAGCAATAGCTACATTACCTAGATAACAACAGTAAATAACTTCAATAAGCAGAAGTGGAGAAACCTTCCAAGATGATTAAAGTGACAGCAAGTGAAGCTGGAGTGTAATAGATGCTGCAAGAGAGACAGTACAGAATCAGGACCTCACAAAGCAATAATTCAGAAAATTCATGGAACCACAATGAATAGGTAACAGAGAAGTTCCTGGATGATGCTCTGGCAGACAGAGCTACTGTATACCTTGACGTACGAAGAGAGGAGTACACAATAAATATAAGGTTGTAGTTTGATCATTAAATGGAACATTACTGGAGTATCATGTCTGTAAATGGAGTCAGACAGACAGAGATGTTGGAAAGCAAGCCATAAAAGTGACCCACTGTCTCATTCTCATGCATATCCTATCTCCAGTGACCATCAGTAGTGCTTGCCTTGAGAAAGAAAACAAAGCCAGGGTAAGCTTACAGCAATTCTTCCCCAGATACACCATCCTGACTTCTGGCAATCAGTATTTTAAGGACTTAAGAAGCCAGACCATTGGTGTTTCATAGTCCTCAAGTTTAACCTCTATGAATTTAACCTCTTCCTGAACCCATTTTGGACTTTGTGACACTTTATTGCAGTGAATTCCACAATCAACTGCACATGCCTCATATTGAAACAAACAGAAAATGAATTGTTTTAAGCTCATTGTCTTAGTTTTACTGAGTTCTCCCTTTATGCAAAGGAAGCTATGACCAATTATTCCTTGGTACCTTCTCCACACCATTTTTAGTTTTACAACACCCTCAGCCATCAACCAAGATTTTTTCGAAGCTAAAGAGCCTTACTTTACTCTCTGGATCTATGGGTATCGTTCTCTACCTTTGATCTTTCTGCCTATCTCTGAAACCTTCTCAGTTCTATCGACCCTTTCTAAGTTATACTCAGGGCTGTAGGTACAATGTTTGAAAATGCTAGAATAAATGTTTCTGGTTTATTCTTGTATTATAATTCCTTTGTTATTTTCCTACCCCAGAACTGACAACTTGAAATAATTACTATCCATAGTAATGCCAAAACCACCTGTTCTACATAAGAATTTAAATTACATTCTCCATTAGTATATTGCATGGGGATTCTCAAATCCTCAGTTGTATTTATTAACATAATACATTTTTGATAGTTAATCTAGAATTTACACAGACACTATGCTTCACACCACAATGTCTCCCTAATGCTGTGAACATCGGAAAATGCGCATTCCACTTCAATAAAGTTTTCAAATAGAAGGTTGTTTTGGGAATAAAACATACTATGAATTAGTCTCATATCATCCCTAGCATTTACAATGTTTGACAAAGAGCAGAGACAAAAAGATTTAAAAAAAAACAAAAACCAACACCCAAAAAACATTCACTCAGTTTCTTGAAAGTCAATCTATAATGAATAGAAGCCTGAAGAAATGCTGTGTGCTTGATTCTCACCCTCAGCACTCTTGCTTTCTCCCCTCCTCCAAGAGCATGATATGGGTACATAAATCAGTGGCCTCAATTCTTCACACACCCACCTCCCAAGTTAACAGAAAAGATGAAAACCAGCTGCCTCCTAATTTGCCTCTGTTTTAAGAAAGGGATTCCCACATTTATCAATATTTCATCTAGCTATTTTTTGGCACCCACATTTTCCACATCACTCAAAAGAAGAGGGGTGACTAAGGATGGGAGGGACGAACATAAATATAACCCCCACAAAAAAAAGAGAAAAACCCCAAACCACTGGTGTCAGGTTTCACAGTGGGGCACTTCCTTTGAAAGATTGTTCATTGTCTTTAATGATTTTTTTTCCCTTGCAACGTGACTAAGTCATTTTCTCATTTTGAACAACCAGAACAAGAAAAATTAATACAGATTCCGTTGGAAGTAGAAGAAAGCTCCTAATTCACTAGTTCTTTAAAGTTAACTAAGACAAAGATTGACCAATATTAATAAACTCTTAAGAAACAAATAATCATTCAGTATATACCTCAAAAGATACTTGGTAAAGGTTGCTTTTTTCTCACCCACTGAGAGCTTCCGGGTTCTGTGCATGCAACACTAGCTTCCAAAACCACAACTGGTTCAGGACACTTCTAAGATACCAAATCCACAGGTAGAATACTGCTTGCCTGCAAGTGAGAGAAAATTATTACCAAAGGCCCTTAGAAGGCAGAACTGTAGTTTTATGCTGGGCATAGAATATGCACACATACTCCTTCCACAGCCCAGGTAAGGTCTCTACCAGCTCCTTGGTAACTGACTGTTTTGTTGACTAGACTGCTAGAAAACATTAGGGAAAGAAAAGCTTGGCTTGCTAGTAATGCCCTGAACTCAGAAGGCATTGGTGAGCCACTGTCTGTTTCTGTGAGAAGGTGCAACTACAGTGACCTTTGTCAAGGTACCTCATCTTTCCAGGACAGAGTTGCTTGTATAAGGATGGCACCTTTGCATTTTTAAGTGGAAACTCCTTAGCCCAGGAGCTGTGCCTGTTACTGCTTGTACAGCAACATGAAAAGGTTTCTAATCTTCAGTCTAGAGAGAAGTTGGACCAGCACTTGAAGTATCAACTGCTACCAACAACCACATTCGCCTCCTCCTTCCCATTCCCCTACTCCCTGTTCTCATATTCTTACCCTTCCCTTTCTAACTCTAGCATTCACCCAAGCACAGTGGGAACTGGATCAGGACTGAAAATAAAAATCACATTACACTGAAAAGGACCAGAATTTGGAGTTTGAGTATCTTATTCTATTCCAAGATGCAACATTTCAAAGGTCCCTCCTTACTTAGATATGCATTCTAGGTTAACTTCACCATATTCTTTATTTAAGAAGATGACAGTGTGGACGGTGTGGAAATGGGTCCACTATGCCAAATTAATGTCTAATCTCAACTAAAAGCTGGTAGCATGCTTCACTAACTAATCCAAGCCTATCTTTGTGTGCAGTTCAGCAGTCAGTTAATGTGCTAGTAAGAGTGATGTTTTCTCCAATATCAGGATAGATAGAACATCCTACCACACAATGAGGTAATAATTTGGTCAAAGAATGGTAAAATTTAGATGGCTGCACCTTGCCTACCGAAGTGACAACAGGACATACAAAGAGGCAGGAAATGCCCATGTACAAGCAAGGAGAGGCAAAATTACCTCCTTCTGGACTGTCAGGCAACCTTCCATTCTCAAAGATATCCCAGACATGACAGGTAAAACTCACAAGCTACAGCAATCCAAGTTTCTTCATACATTAGACAACTGGATTGTCAGAATTAGAGTGTAACATTCACTTCCTGTTTGTTAGAGAAGATTTGATCTGACAGGTGAGTATGATTTTTCTCAGCTTTTTCACCCGTGTCTTTATAAAAATCTTTCTAATAGTATTACCTATTATGGATTTTAAAAATCAATATTTGTGTTCCCTGAAACTGAATTTAAAGTAGCAAGGATTAAAGGTAAAAGGCACCACATTCTTATGGAAGCAGTAATCGGCCTTAAAACAAGCATGAGCATGACAATGCACTTGTCATCCTCAGCTTTCTAATACATTTCTCCAATATCCAAAAGATACAAGAGACACCTTTAGTGAATTGCACTGATAATGGAGATGTCCACACATACCTAAGTAAAGTATCAAAACAAGGGTCATGTCAGAGAGCTTTACTGTTGTGGAGGACAGTAAAGCTCAGCTATAGAGATTATGACAGTAAGTCTGCTCAGACTCGGAAATTCTGTGATTCTAACTATACAGGAAGCTAACCCAAACCAGCATGTGGATTATTTCTGTCATTACCCATTTAGTAACAGACTTTCATAGACTACAGGTGTAATTAGATGATTTAACACGTATCTTCTTCACAGGCAAGTATTCGGGTGCAAAGAGCCAAACTGACATAAACAAAACACAAATGCAAGCTCCAGAGCAAAAACTAGAGTTATACTACTTTTGACTCCAGCCAAACATGTAATGCTCCTTTCATATTCAAACAGAAATTACCCAGATATTATAGACGCAAACTGCTGCAGAAGCTGTACAAGGCATGCAGAAATTTCAAATGCAACTATATTCCTTCTACTATAGGACTTTCAAGAAAAATACATGCCACAATGAGGAACACAACATTGAATGATATTACTACTTTTAAAAATATATGTTATTTCACAGTCTTTAAAGTTGGGAGCACTTTATACCCCAAACAATTAGGAAAATACTCTATAGATATCATGTGGAGTTTTCAGAACATGCATCTTTAGGCCCACAGAATATAGCAGAGATGTAGGACATTTTGAATTCCAGGAAAGATCAATAAACAGAGATTTTCACACCAGAAAAAAAACACCCACACAAATGAAAATGTGATAAAAATGTAGCATTGCTTGCTGAGAACTTGGGAAGTTCAGAATCAGGATGACAGAGACAGCTTCGTAAACTTTAAGTTTGAATGCACCGTCTAAATGTATAAGCTATGAACCAGTACCACAGGCAGACTGAGAGGTCACCGGTTTTGGAAGAGGCTGTGAGGTCTTCATTTTACTAAGGGATGAGGGTAAAAGACTGAAAGCTAATAAACCGATAACATTGTGGCAGAGTCCCAGAAATGTTAGCCGGGACGGATCTTTCCACATCAGTAACCCAATATCCCACTTGAAGCAGAACTGCTATCAACCACCAATCAGATCAGCTGTGATTTTGTTCAGACAAGCCTTAAATACCTCCATAAACTGAGGTGTCACAATATTTCTGAGTAACCAACCCAAGTACTACATTACCATCCTAAGATTCAATGTGAACCACTCAAGCTACAACTTGTGGACACCGCCCTTCATTTTTCCGTCTGCCACTATTAAGAAAAGCTAGTCTGCTTCATCTTTGTAACTCCCCTTCACTTAACTGTAGGCTGATATTTGATTGACAGCTCAATAGCAAGACTATATATGAAATCTCTGAAAAATCTGCCACTGGAGTAGGAGACTCCAGAGAAATCTCTTTGGAAAGGAAAGTGAGCCTGGATCTTCAGAGTTCCACTAATTTACAGAATTTAATATAAAATAAAATAGTACAGAATAGAACAGCATCTTTCATTAAAAGCAGAGTTTAGTTAAAAGTGACCTTTTTCTTCCATCCTACTTAGAGAGAAATCTTTTGCCCTAGTGTCTGCAATTCCTGGATCATCCCAACTTGTCCCAAGAAGTAACATAAGAAATTTCAATGTAAACTTCTTTTTGTCCTTAAGATAGGGGTGGGAAAGGGGAAGAATTTAATGAGTATTATCTGCTCTGTTGGCACTCAGAAGGGTTCAGACTGAGAGGAAAAAAAAACAAACCAAAAACCAAACCAACAAAAAACAAAAAAACAAAGCCATGGAATATGGAAAAACTGATTTAAACACAAAATACAGTTTCTGCAGAAACATCCATTTTAAAACGTATTCTCTTCCACATTTGTTGCCATCATCTTGGTCTAAGTTAGATACCCAAATTTATGCTATTACAGGACATTTGTAGTAGCCTGTTTCCTTAACCAAAACAAACACACAGTCTAACTAGAATAGTATGCTAAAAGTTACCATGGTCATGCCAAGACACTGCACTTTCGCAGTTATTTGCCTTTTTTCCCCTCTGCTTCTGAGCACCTTTGGGACATGTCTTCATAAAACAGCTATTGAATTAACACACAGAAAATGCCATATGCATTCAAATTACTTTAAATTACTGTAAAGGTAAAATTTAGGCCAACTAATCAATTTAGGGGAAAAAAATAATCCATTTACTGTACTGAAGCCAAAACTCTCCCCTAGGCAATTCTCCCTAACTCCAAAGGTCAATGCATTCAATGCTTACATAATATTTCAATTCAAACTGCTTGTATTCTTAGAGGGTAACAGGCTAATGATCAGATCCAGACTGGGTGCGATTCCAATGACTCTATATGGTCTCAAACATCTTGAGAAGAATAGTCATGGTAATGGTAAGTGCCAGCTAATCCATCTATAACATGAAAATGGTCATGTCTGAGAGCTGTCTAAAAGTGGCCATTCTCAGAAAAATCAGCATTTCTATACTGCCTCAGTCTTCTATGTATTGAACTTCAGCTGCTAAAGAAGCACGAAGAACTTTTCTACTGTCTTTCTGTGTAATTTTTTATTATTAGGTTGTTTATTCAGCTTGTACTAAAAAATTCAAGTTCAAGAACTGCTGCAGTTTTATTTAAATAAAGATTACTTTTTAAAAAAAGAAAATTTACCATAATTTAGGCAGACACATGACTGGTATGCTTTTCATCTTAGAATATGTTCTATACAGCTATAACTTAAGGGGATTGTTCTTATTTTCAGAGTACACTTAGCTAAGAAAAATCTGCAGAATGGCAATTTTGAAGAGAAAAATGGAAGAACTCCAACACCACAGTATTTGTAACATGAAACAGGCTTTTTTCTAACCAGGACTTGACCCTGCTTTTCAAAGGGAAAAGCATCAGTTATGAAAAAGGTGATGCTTAGTGAATTTCCCAATGGATATAGGATGATTAGGACAGCGGGCAACATGAAATACCTAATATATGATGCTACACTCACACTGAGCTCACATTCAAGTAAATGGTTCAGTTGCACAGACATGAAAACACGCATACTTAAACCCCACACTGGTATAACGTTGTGTTTGCTTCAGTATAGGCAAGCAAGGGGTGCCTATTTCTTTTTCGAAAAAGACCTGAATGCAGTTTTTAACAATTGCAACAGTCAAAGTGAAAGTGAGTGGAGAGGGCATGTAAAACCCAGAAAGCAGGAGCTGGAAGGAAGCAGAAGTCTGTCAAGCCAATTATTTGTGTAAGCCCTTGCTTTTCTCCTTGCCACCAATTTCACAAATCCAACTAATAGGCAAAAACATCAAACAATCAACAGCCAGTATCACCACTGGAAGACTGGTATCTTCTATAGAGTTCAGCTGCAATGGTATTCATGTTCCTTTAAGCCTCTGTTTGAGCAATATCACTATGGAAACAGATCGGTGATGCCCTGCACCTTATCAGCCCTTCTCTATTTAAATCCTTTTCTTGTGTTTTCAACAAAGCCATTCACTGAACCTCAACTAATGCAAGATTCTGTCAGGGGTGAGGTTTACGTTTGGCTGTGG